TTTTTTTTTTTCCCCCCCCCCCCCCCCCCCCCCGCTTCCTTCTTTAGGTCAAAAAAGACCCAGTGATAGCAATAGTGGAACACTGGCAAAAAAACAAAAGCGTACTCCAAAGCGAACAAGTGCTGCAGCCAAAAATGAAAAGAACGGGACAGGTATGTTCCTGGAGGGGCAGAGGGGGGGGGTTATGCTGTCCTGTGACCGTGTGTAAGGGCCCACTGCTCTCGCTTTTACCCGTTATTTCTGTTAGATGGGACTTCCTGGTCAGGGTTTTTCATTATTATTCATAATGATCATTGGTTGTTAACTGGAGAGAACTTACCATTTACTGGGAAATCTCTTGGCTGTTTTTAATTACTTGTTAGGAAAAACTTTTAACAACTGTATATATCAGCACTTACTAAACATTTACTGTTATATTAATTTTTACATATTGGATTGGTTATCAATCTGGGAGTGCATAGGAACGTCTTGTGAATAGAAACATCTCCTTTAAAGTCTTATGATAGGTGTTTCTCATGGAAAAAAGTGCATTTATGAAGAAATATTTGATGCTAAAGAGTAACATTTCAGCAAAGGTATAGTGTGTTTAACTTCCTATAGAAATCTGGATTTATGTGTTTCTATAGCTCATTTTTGATGATCATTGTGTTCTGACATACTATATTCAGACATGTTTAACGTGCCTGTGTAAAATCTTGCAATTCTTGGGGGAATCTAAAATATTTGCATATATCAGCTTAAAATTTTCTGTTACATGCTAAAGTTTTTATGCTTTTCAGAACTATTCCTTTAGAGGTGGTAAAGCAGTTTGGTGAATACACACAATCACGTGCTACCTATATTAATCCCTTTAAGAAAGGGATTCTAGTGTGAGCTTTACATTAGAGCCCCAAAATATGTGACTTTATTAGAGCACTGAAAAGCTATCTTTTCTTATTAAAATAAGCTTCTTTATTGCTTCTTAAAAAAAAAAAAAAATTGACTATGTCTTTTTAACTGAAGTCAGCCCTTGACCTCTGCATTAACAGTCAGTACACTGGAGGGTTTGATGCATGCTGTGCCTGATAAGGTTACACTGAATCTGATAGGTTTTTCCTTGTGTGCACTTTGAGATATTCTAAGCAAGGAGGAGCAGGTTTTTTCATTCTTGTTTATTCTGACTGTACCTACAACTTTAAAACTGTCAAGGTTGGGTTTTTTTGAAGTCCAAATACATCTCTCTTACTGCAGGACAAAGCAGTGACAGTGAAGACCTTCCTGTCCTGGATAGTTCCAGTAAATGTACTCCTGTAAAACACGTAAACGCATCCAAACCACAGAAGATTTCTCGATCACCTGCAAGAGTGATTTCACCTCACATCAAAGATGGGGAGAAGGATAAACACAGAGAGAAACACCACCACCAGAATGCTTCGCCTAGAGTATACAAATGGAGTTTTCAGCTCAGTAAGAATTCTTTTAAGTGATTTATTTAGAGGGAGTTTATGAGAAAACTTGTTCAGAAAGAAAAACGTGCAAATTTGGGGATTCTAAATTAGGTATAGGCCTTTTATGGTGTAGTTATCACAGTATGTGATATTTTGTGCTCTATCTCGTATACTCTTAAGAATTGCATTAATTTGTTTAAAATCACCTTGATTAAGCTGGTTTTTCTTCCTATTTTAAGATGAACTAGACAATATGAGCAGCACTGAAAGGATCTCCTTCTTGCAAGAAAAACTACAGGAAATACGAAAATACTACATGTCCTTGAAGTCAGAAGTAGCAACCATAGACAGGAGAAGAAAACGATTAAAAAAGAAAGACAGAGAAGGTAACTTTCAGATTTGCTTTATGCTTCCCATGAGAAGTTAATTTTCTTGAAAATACATAACTCGAAACACCTGGAGTTTTTAATTGACAGTGGTTTTGAAAAAAAAAAAGTTATCATCTGTTTGTATGCATACATAGTTAGAAAAAAATATTTGGCTTTTCAGAACTTGAAGCTAACAGAAACATTCCCTATTTTATAATGGTATTAAAAACTTAAGACTTCCTAGTTCAAGCTCAGTCTGAGTTTGAAATCAGCCTAATAACTCATCTGGTTTATCTTTTCAGTTGGTTTGTGATGCAGACAGGGTCAGGTCACACATCCAGTTTATGTGCACATAACAGTGAAAGCAACTGACACAAAATCTGTGTCAGCTTTCCGTGACCGTGACACTTCTCTGAGGTCTTTTAAACAACCCAATAACCAAGACCTTCATTCTGACGTGTTCTTTGGTAACTCGATGCTGACGTGTTGTTCTGTATATTCAGTGTCACATACAGGAGCATCCATGTCATCCGCTTCATCAGACACTGGAATGAGTCCATCATCATCTTCTCCTCCACAAAACGTGCTTGCTGTAGAATGCAGGTGATACACATTTCTCTGCCTTGCCAGCAACTTGCTGCCATGGACATAAATCCTGAAATTCAACCACAGAAAAGCACTCAACTGGTTTGACATTGCCAAGTATATCCTGTACACACTTCCACTGCTGGACTGTACCTGTTCTCCCCTCCTACCCTGTTCTTTTGTTTAATTTACTGTTCAGAGAAATTAAGCTCATTGGTAACTGAAGGTTTGTAGGCACAATGTGACATGCTTGTCATTGTGTTTTGTTTTTGTTTTTAATTAATGCAGAGAAAGGGCACTTATGAAATTTGAAAAGTTATGTCCAATGAAGCATTCAAGTGTTCTAGGGAGATCTTAGAAAAGCAAGTGCACCAAGCAGACATCAGAGTATGATCAAAAACAGTGGAGTAACTGCTGCACTTTCACCGAGCTGTACGTTAACTCTTGGTGAGTAGTTCCTCGTTGTGGAAGCACTTGCTATACAGAACTGCCAAAGTATGTGTTCAGCAATGTGCCCAGTTTTAAAGGTGTAAATGGGACAAAATAAATTGTGAAAGGAAGTGTAGTTGACTGAAAACTACAGTTGTAATAAGTCTTCCACTTTTTATAGGATTTTTGAGCACACAATTATGCAAATATTTTAATGTTTATTAATGTTTACAGTGGAATTGTGAATAGGTTTTCAGTGGACTATCTTATCCCTTGACAAAAATATTTTGTCTTTTTTCTATGTAATTTCAGAGTTTTTATTTTGTTACAAAAAGACGAAAAATGAAATATATAACAACAATGAAGTTATTTAACAAGATTTCTAAAGCTGAAATTTTTGTGTAAAATAAGGTATCTTGCAACTTGTTAAATATATTTATTCAGACATTGGATGTTGTATTTTTATGTATTTTTAAAAATATTAATAAAATTGGAAAAAAAATTCTAGGTTAGTTCACTCTTTCGCTAAAACATACTTACCAGTTACGGCTCTTAAGGAGGTTTTATCCAGTAGCCATGCCTGTACGTCAGCTGGGTCTGCCTACGTAGCCTCCACACCACAGATCTCTAAGCGGGCAGCTGGGTTAAACTATGACTTTATTTGGAAACTTTGGCAGTCCTAGTACTTACATTGTTTTGAGGAACAAAATTTATCGCGTTGCCCTTAAGATACTTTGTCACAAGTTCTTATGTTTGCTATACTGCCGAATGAATTTATATCTCCCAAAGTTGAGATGCAACAAAGTAAAGCAACTGTGTATGCTTTGTCTGTGGATTGTCCCACAGGCAGATACAGTTTGTAAATAACTCTTCCAAAACCATGTATTTAAAACAGTTTGCATATACATTATGTATAAAAGTGATTTTTTTATCAATTTTTTTATTCATGTTTGTACATTGAAAGGGGTTCTTAACCCCTTTTTCTGTGTTTAATATGCTGTAGAGTAATAACATAGATGCTCTAGACTGTATATCAGGATATTCTGGTTCACACGGCAGAAAGTCAGAACGAAACACTAGTGATGGCGTAGCATTACTAAAATTGATGTTTCTTGAAATTTCATTTTACAACATTTGTCAACTTGTGATTCCAATTCCTTCCATTTTCGCAGAAAATTAAAGAAAAAGTACTCTTGTAAATGCACTTTTTCTGTCTTTTCTTAAGCAAAGCAGAACTCTTTCAATGTAAGATATGGAGCTCACTAGACAGCATTAATAAAGGCCATGTTTTAAACATAGGCTTTATATTCTATTTTTATTTAAGTGATTGTTCTTGTAAATGTCTGGACTTACATAAATAGGAAGATTAATCTCCATAAATTGTTGTAAAGACTTTTTTCAGAGCAAACTTCTACTGTTAATCTTATGATAGCTATGAATAAAAAGCAATACTCATTTAAAAGGAAATAACACGGGTCACATTTTATCAGATTATCTTCCACGTTTAGTAGTCGCAGAAGTAAATTTTAAATTCAGTGAAATAATAGGATTCATTCCATCTTCTGCAGGTCGTTAACCTCTGCCTGCAAACTGGGTCAGATCTTAACCAGGCACATACACACACTCCCCAGGCAGAGATGGTGGCCGGGCTCTGCGCTGCCCCTACTTCAAGACAGGCTTTCACATCTACACTGCCTGCTGAAACATGGAAACCCGTTCTAACAGCTCCCTGACAGAGAACTTGCTTCCTACCTCCTCTTTCCACCTGCTTTACTTTGCACTAGCACTCATCAGACACCCACCCACACCCCTAACATCATTATTCTGGCAGAACACTAAACCTGCAAGAAAAGGTGGACTTTCTGCCAAGCCTCCGGCAAAGCTTCGAGCATGTGACTGATTTCCTAGTTTTATCTTTCTGGCAAGAAGCGTATCAGTTAGCCACATGATTCAGTAGATGTTTAAAGTAGTTTCTTAGGACATTTAAAAATACCACAGGGAAAAGAAGATTTATTATGTCGTACGGGACTATCCTGTTCTAAGGGTGAAATCAACAAGAGACCCTAATAGATCTTTTATTTCTAACTATAATCCTCCTTACTTCTGCTTTGTTGATATCAAATAAATTCCAAAGTGTCTTCCAATGCCTTGAATGAAAGTTTCTGCTGTTGAGGACGCAGAAATTATGATTACACTGAACTGGGATTTTTTTTTTTTAAGAAGAGATTAGGTATCATGTCTGTAAGAGCAGTCAAAACTAAAGCACTCTTGGCAGGCTTCACACTGTTCTCCTGCCTTCTAATCTTTTACAGTTTTTCTCAAAATGATGTTATTTCAAGCTTAGGAGGTAAAAAAAAAAATATATATATATATATATATATAATATGAAGATTATGGGATCAAACGCTGTTAGAACTGTTAAAAAGAACAGGGCTTTAAGAATTCAGACTCTTCCCCCACCTCCTGCAACTGATACAAAGAACTGTCAGACTTCTGGCAGATTTATTATTTTGGGATTAGCATACATCTGAAAGTTGGAAAAAACAAAACATATGCATGCAAGGACATAAGGTAAGAAAAGATTTGTTTTCCTACCTGTTTTATCTTTTACTTTCCACAAAGCATACAGCTACATGTATGCTGATGAGTTTTTATTTTCTCTCTAATGTGCAAGTTTAGCAACACCCAGTTAAATCTGCACTTGTTTCTGGCTCCTCCATCAGACTGTGTTTGAGAAACCTCCTCGTTTCATCAGTTTTAACAGATCAGGCAGGAGAAGCAAAGATGTCAGAACAACAGTAAAAAGCCATTATTTCAACAGAGGTTAAACAGATCTGCAGTGGTAATTACCAGTGAAAGAAAAGCGTAACAAGGGCAAATAAAAGCATGTATCTTCATGAAGCATAATGTATCTGGCCTTCACAGGGAGCAGCAGACCTTTGAAGGACAGTAGTGGAAGAGAAAAGGTGTTTAAATCACCTTTCTGGTGGTATTTTGCACAAGTTCCACTTGAATCTGTTTTTTTTTTAAGGCATTAGATAGGCAGAAATTTTTTAAATGGATGCATATTCTTATTTTACATGTAGAGAGCCACACAACAGTGGCTACCAAAATTATCCAGGATGGCTTTGATGGGGAGCCTTCTCTCTCCAGATAGGTTTGTCAACCAGATGGAACTTCACATTAAAAAAACAAATAGTCATAAAATGTTCTTCGTCGTCGCATTAAAAATATTCTTGGATAGCTGAGGCAGCCAAATGGGTTTCCTGGGCAGCATTTACTGGAATTCTTTTAGAGCACTAAGTCTAAAAAATGCTGTTGTTTTCTTTTTAAGAAAAGAGCACGTTTGGTTTGATGGCTTGAAACAAATCTGACAGAGGAGCCAGAGGAAAGATTTACAAGCTGAAACAAAAGATGAATGTGTTAACAAAAGTATGTTGAGCTGTTTACTCCACTGTGCCCTTGTGTTTTGCAGTAAAATCTTGGTTATTTTTTACTTCTCTGTACTTTGGATTTTATTATTTGCTACAGTGTGCAGGACAAAGACTACCTCTGGAGATGTAAGAAACATAATAAAGAGAGGAACCAATGGGGGTGCTGCCAGAGACTGAGTCACTGTGATTCCAGGGCTTAGGAAAAAGACATTTTATAATTAGCTCACACTATTTATCAAGCTATTGCCCTCAGATTTTGAGAAAATCTGCCATTCTCCCATATTACCTTCTATCAAAGAGGATGATTTTTTTAAAGAGATCTCTGGTAGAGTTTAAAATTACTTTATTAGTTAACACTAAGTAACTTGTATTTATTGGGCTTTGTTTGTTTGTTTTGGAAATCTGTGAGTTCCACAAGCATTTATTAGTGTCATCCATTGCTTTGGAGGAATATATAAATTCAGTTTTTCCTGTCACAGTGTTATTGGTCTGACTATGTGCTTGCCTTAATGCAGTGGATGGTGGATTTTGTGATTAGTCACAGCCCAATGACAAATACTGTGTTTTCAGTTAAAGAAAACTGAAAAGATTAAGGCAATCTTAATTGTGAAAGCAGACTGTTTCTCACCCTTCCTAAGAATAAGACTTTCCTGGTTTCCTCTTTGTTTTGAATTATCTCAGTGCTATTTACGTTGCTATTCCTGCTCTTCCCATTTTCAGAGAAATCCTACTTTCTGCTCCAGAGCAGGGCTGCGCTGGTTGGTTCTGCTTCAGGTCTGCAACTACCTGCTATTTATATTAGTTAGTACCCTTATGCTGTTGTTTATCCTATACCAATAGTTTTCAGAGATGAAAAAATGTCTGTGTTTGTTTTAAGACTTGGCTTTAACTCACCAGTACAGCTCACTCATTATGAAAAAAACAAAGAAACATTGCAACGATTACTTTCTCTAGGTTTCATCATTGCCAGCAAAGAAAATCGGCACTAGAGCTCCATTACAGTTGTGAAAACCTGCAGATTGTTTATCGGTAGCACGTTTGCTTAATTCTCCCTCCGAGCCTTGTTGGTGAGTTCTGCATTACTGGCCATGTCTCTCTTTCCCAGCTCTTGTGAGTAACCCAATATTTCCATTCCAGCCCTGTCTGTGTCTTCAGCTATTTCTAAACTCCTCCTCCTCTAATCCCTCATCTGGGTACAGTTTGACCTAATTTGCCATGATCCCGCCAGCTATGCCAGTTATGTAAGAAGCGGTAAAATGTGGAATTTGTACAGAATACTTTGTTATATCGTGCAAGTGTGCCTTTATTTTTTTTTCTTTTTAGCAAGGCACTTACGTGCATGTGCAGCTTAAAACTCTCTTGATGCTCATTCATTTTCTGAAAATTAGTTCCCTTAGGAATGGGTAAGGTTTCAAGCTATTTAAAAAGAAAAAAAAGATTTAAAAAAACCCCGAACCCTTGATTCCTTCTGGTTGCACTCTGCTTCCCACGCTGCGAGTGCCTACGGTGTGCCATCCCAGCAGTTTCCCCATGCAGTGCTGCTGTTTAGAGTCAAGTCCCCCACTGCCAACGTTGGGTTGGGTTTCTTAACAACTGTAGTTTTTTACGCTCATGATTTTTCCTCTTTTCATTTCAGTTTATGGCCCTGTCACGGCGGCGGCTCCAGCTCTGCGGCCTTCTTCAGGGCCGGCCCCCAACACTCTGCCGCCATGGCCGCACCCTCACCTCTGTCACCTGCCACGTTTCGCTTCCCTCAGAAACATCCCTACGTGCCCTGAAGGCAATAAAAACCTGTAAGAAGCTTATGTTTTGTTTTTGGTTTTTTTTTTTTCCTTTCCTCCACCCCTCCATGGGTGCAGGGCCCGGGCGCCCACAGCCTCAGGCCCCGCGCAAGGGAAGGGGCGACTCCGCGGGGCAGGATCCGCGCCAGGGGCTGGACTCAAGCCCCACACAGCTCCTCTCCTCAGGCCCCACCACCATCCTCGGGGAACCCACGTCCTCCGTGGGGCACAGAGGCCAGTCTTCCCCAGACCCCACTGCAAAAAACACGTCCGGAGAGGCGGCCAACACCCCTCTCCGAGCGATGAGGTGGTGGGTGTAGAGGCTGGAAACCCTCCTCCTCTCAGCTGTGACTCAAAACAGCTCCTGGCAGGTGCCGGGGGCAGCCGCACACACTGAAATTCAACATGTGCTTGAGCAGACAGCGAGGGGGAGAAGGTCCCCACTTCGATCTCCTAGTAAGGGCAGGAGCTGTAAAATACAGAAATAGCCACCAACTGGATTTCTACTTTGATTATTTGAAATTTAGATAAGCTCCCATTCGTGTTACGTAAACACAGCGCTATGTCAAGTATACTACCTTAAATATTTACACAACTCCCTCAGCAGTCCTCTCACTGATCAGAGGAAAGCGAGCTGCAGAATAAAAAGCTTCAACCAGACATGGTCCATTCTGTAATCTTCTTTTTTTTTTAAAAAAAAGGTGATTTAGGGTCTTTTGTATGTTTTTCAGTTACATGGTTTTGTATGTGAGAAATCTGGGAAAACAGACGACCATCATTTTCCAGTCCTGAACTACTAAAGTCTGAATGCTGAATGTCCCCTGTTGTGTTTACAGAAAGAACCTAACACTCAGGAGCATAAAGTTAAACATAATTTTAAAAATCCTAAGAGCAGAATTGTAACTTTAAATACTTAAGGGTTCTTTTAATGGTGTCTTCTTGAAACTCAAGGTGCAAGCATAATGCAAGTGTCACATGCTCTAATTGCTTTCACAGGTTTTAGAGTTTGGGCCAGACTCATTCAAGAAATTTTGGAGCTGAGCTTAATGGACTTGCCAAGATTTGAACTAGGTTCCTCAAATGCTCTGTGCTGACTTCCTAACCCAGTTAACAGAAAATGCTGGAAAAAGAGATGTCACTTAAACTCCAGTTCCCAGAGCTAGGTATTTAAGAGTATAGCCACAATCTATCTCTGGGCATTGGGTATTTAATCCACAGTTTCCTCACAGAAGATTGCATTCGCATCCTCTCCCTGCCTTCCAACAGAGAGCTCAGTAGCTGAAGCTCTCAGCAAGGGGATTACAGAAATTAGGACTTTGCTCCTATCCTTGAGAGAGGAGCCTCTGTTATAATCTTCCAGATGACTGATCTGGTCACTTTGCCAGCACCACTGATGTACAGGGCATTTGGGAGCAAGTCTCTCCATTGACCCTTCCTGTTGAAATTGTTCTGTTTTCTGTGGGCTGACTATTAATTGCATGCTTTTCTATCCTTTTGGTTCAGACACTCATTTCAGCAGGAAGAATCTGTGTTCCTGTCTCCACTGCAGTGAACATCACCTCTAAATGAGCATCTGCTCGCTAGCCCAGTCTCATCAAGCCAGTTTTTGGCAGGCTGCACTCCTGTTGCTTTCTCTCCCCTCCCACTTCCACTCTGGCTCACTTTTTTAACAGCTATCTCAGTCCTCCGTCCTCAGCAGCACTCCATTGCTCCTCCTTCCATCAAAACTAGTTCCATTCTGCACCTAACCTAATACACCTCATCAAGGTGATTCACCTACTGTCTACACACTTTATCTTAAATACTGTTGCCTTTCAGTTAGGATTCAGAGACTAAGCTGTACTCTCATTCCAATTCTGGCTGTGCATTTCATTATGCCACACAAACTTGATGCTATTCAAGAGAAGGAATGGAGAACGCTCCAGATTAAGCTAGGTCATGGAGGTTAGAATACACCAGTGGGAGAAAATGTGCAGCCTGGCCTGCCTTCTAAAAATTCCCAGCCTTCCCAGTGGACATCCATCCAGGTATTGTAGAAATAATGATTCTTGCATTTGCAGTTAAATATTTTTGAGAATTGGGTGCTGGGAGGTTTTGCTGCAAGGAGGAAAGCCCAGCTGCAGCACCTTGACAATACACACTGATAAAACATGTGAGAGGGGCACTGAAACACTGTGTCATGAATCATTCTCAACTCACAAGTCCTCTTAACAGAATCTTTCAGGGCACTATTTTCTAAATAACATGATTTGAGCCAGCCATCGGGGTGTGCTGGAAGCAAAAGGAAGCTGTAGCTCAGCAAAGCAAGTTAATCTTTTAATAAAGTTTTCAGTGTTGCTTTCTGCACCACCTGGATTTAGTTATATGGATGCTCTTCATTTCCAAGCTTAAATATATCTGTATCATCTTTCTTCAAGCAGTCACTTGGGTTGAAAGATGTGGAAAGACCACAGCATTTTTTGAGTGAAACAGAGCTAAGACAAAACTGCTTATCCAAAAGAGCAAGCCAGTGACTCCATCTTCATCGGCATCTTTGTGCAGTAGCACTGCAACTTACTTTGCATTCTAGTTAGGTTCAAAACAATCACCATTAACAGCCACATCCCTAAACAAACTAGTTGCTATAAGCACATAGCTGCTCTGGAAGTCAAGGGCTTTTGTTAGGGCAGCAGCTATCAACATCATGCCGGTACTTCCAGCGACACTTCATTCCACCTATTTGTTTAGTGAGCATGGGGAGAGGCAGGGGGATGTGACATCTGATTAGGTTTTAAGAATACATGTTTTCCCTGGATAACAGTGGGTTAGGGAAGCTTTAAAACTGGGGTAAAAGGAAACTAGGGAACCTGAAAGCAAGTAATTTATTAACTCAGTCCCCTTAACACTTGCTTAATCTTTTGCACAGTGAATCTGTCTTAATATTTAAACATCCTCCTACCTCCAAATCCCCAAACACTGAAACACAAGGGAAAACCAGGATTTTTTTTTTTGTAACCCTCCCTCACTTCAGCCACAAGCAGCTTTGCCCAGAAGACAAACATCTTCATCCCATCACTTATGAGTAACTGTTCTCTTTGCACACTAAGATACAATAGAAAAATGGGTTAATTTTAATCACACATTACTTTCAAGTGTTTAACAAAAACCCTGCTTTAAAAGCCTTAAATCTTTACTATAGATAATTTCTAATTGGCCATAATATTTGTGGCTTGATTGTAGAAAACAATCTAGATATTATTAGCCTGTCATTCCTTTGAAAAAACAGGACATTGGAGACTTGCTGCCTTATTTGGGCTCTTTTTTAGCCTTTACTATTTTCGAGTCAGCTCATAGCCATCTCCAAGGTAACAAGGCATGGGCTATGTAGGAAGGAGCTGTGATATGGCTAGTACAAAATATGTGTAAATGAGACTGTAGGAACATACTTGTTTCTTCCACCTTTGAAAAGCATATGAACAGATTTCTGTGGAGAGCTGGGGCAGCTTTAAACCACAGCAAATGGAGCAACATCCAGTGCAAGAGGCAGGTGTACTGTGCTGCAGTCAGGGCCTAGTAATCCACAGCCTGGATAGTTTGAGTAGCAAAGAAAAAAAAAAACCAGCCAGGAAACAATTCGTTGAGACTGCTGCTGGAAATAAAAAGAAATAGAGAAGGTAACAGCAAGAAAGCATTCGGGCAGGCTTCCTGCCATTTCTGTTCCTTATTGTTGCCTTTCTACTCAAGAACAGAACCTGGCAGCTGACATGAAATATTTTGCTTCAGTCTTCATTGCTTTAAGTTTCAAAATTGATATGGTAATCCCGATGTTCAGTTCCTTTTGTTACTGTATTTTACTAGTTAGAACTGAAGTAAAATGTGCCTGTTAGCTATCATTCTACTGTACTAACAATCTGACTGCAGGGTTTCAGCTACCAAGATCCTTTCAAAGGCTTGGTGTTTTTCCTAAACCAAACCCACAACATCAGACCAGCTAGCTTCCACAAACTTCTCTATGCTCATCCAGCAGCAAAAAAGACATCATTTTGTGCATGCCTTCTATTTTCTGTTGGAATTCACATAATTAAAGGAGAAAGCTGCCAGCAAGCTCACTGCTTGGGGCACATTGTGCTTGCATCAGGCAGGGAAGCTGGGTTTGGAGGACCCCTGGGGTTCCCTGAAGGAAACAGGGAGTGCCTAGAGGTTGCCTTGGGCACAGGTGCTGCTAATAACACACTCTTGTCCCTTCTAAGTGACCTGGTAAAGCATGAAGCAAACATAACCTCGGGATAAGCTGCCAGAGCTTCCCAGCCTACTTGAACTCATTAGTTACAGCAGTTGTCTGCCACTTATAACCACCCTTGGCTCCATGCTCTAATCGTCACCATCCAGCACTCCAGAAAAGTCAGAGTGATCACAAGGCCCTGTGAGAGTGGCTCAACTGAAGTTCTTCCCAAATTAAAGGGAAGTAACACATTCACAAATCCCCAGCTGCTGAAACAGTGTCACTAATTCTGTTATCTATCAGCAACTTAAAGCAGCCACAAATGAGCAGAACTCCGTAGTAGCTGAGGAGGAATGAGACCACAGCAAACTAAACACTGCTCTCAAGCAGTGCCCTAAAGATGTATCTTTGAAAAGAATGTACATACAAGGCTACAGTTCCCATTTATTTTACTTGAATAAAATAGAAAAGTGTGTTTCCCATATTACACTTTTTTTTCCATCTGAACCAGGCCTAGCAGAAAGGACGTAAAACCCTCCCACCCACCTTGAAATTTAAACATACCAGTCTGTGGGCCCTGGAAAAGTTTGTGTCAATATAACTCCATTGGAGAGTGAAAAGCACCTCAGAAACAGACTCCATTGCCAGTCCACCAGTTTAACCCTTCATGGTTTCCACTGTCTGAACAGCATCTAGAACTCTCTTCGAGTTGTTGGACATAAATCCTGACAGTAGAAAATCCAAAATGTGTTCTTGCCCAGTGAGCACTGGCACTGCTTGTAAAGTCTGAACAGAGTGCTCTTGTCTAACGAGGTTGGCCAAGCAGTCCTGCTTTAGCTGCCAGAGCTTCGTTCTGCTGAATATGGTATTCCTGAAATCTCATGGAGATCCTTTGTGTCATTTTTAAATACTTCTGTAGGCAGTGATCTGAGCACGTGATCTATAGGAAGAGGGAAACAGAAGGCTTCAAACAGTAATTAAAACACTCCCCCAAACAGGACCCAAAATATAATAATATACAGGAATAAATGACTGTGTCTCATATAATGTGTTAATCCTCAAGGTGACGGGCTAACAGCCTCTCCGTGCAGTGAAAAATTGTACAGTTTTGTTTTTCAGGGATGTCTGAATATTGAAAGATAAAAGATATTCTCATATTAAAGTCTTTATGGAAAACATCTCAGATCTAGGAGATAATACAATTTCATCACTGGGCTCCTCTCATGAAATTAAAGTATATAAAGCATTTTATTTTGAAGAAATACTAAATTTATGAAATTATTATTTTCTTTTTTTCAGTATGTGTTTGTAAACAGAATTATTTTTGATAGCCAAATACAGTCTACCATGTGCTAGCTCAGTTTAACCTTTTTTTGACCTTGTTCCAGTTATCTCTGTCGGTCTTCCTGTGCCTGCTTGGTTAAGCTTCACAAAATCAACCAGAGTACCCACTGGAATTCTATCAGTCAGCTGGACAGGGAAATAAATTCCAGAGCCTATTGCACCCATGGTATTATTTTTTAAATTTAGAGGTTGGTTTTGTTTTTTTTTTTCTTTAAGTGTAGAGAAAGAGTTATGAGATTACTTCTGAGCAGCAGTTCTACCAATTGGATATTCTGTATCATGGTGCTAAACCTTGCTATCACTGTAAAAGCTAACAAATTTAGATAGAAAGACAACCACTTTGCATGATTACTAGAAAACCAGAAATTGCTTTGATTCTGCTCAGTGTAAAGGGATGTGAAAAGCAGAGGGGCTGAAAATGAACAAGACAAAACAAAACTACGCAGCTACGCATACCACCCAGCACCCATCCTTGACCTGGCATCAGCTACAGCAAAACCTGTTAGGCAGGAGTTAAGTCTGACTAGGAAACAAATTCTGGAACTACCCCAAGCCACTGCTCCCAGCAGGTGTGGTATTTCAGATAGGGTGCCCTGGGAAGTCCAGACTTGCAGTGCAGACGTGCTGTAGGGCAAGAGGTGAGAAGCCATTTTTTCAAAGGTAGAATCAAAAAGGGGATTCATGGAGGTATTCATCTTAATTATTTAATTGGAAATTACAACTTTAAATAGGAACATGGTAATTTCCATATCAGATCAGACCAGTGGTCCATCTGGATCAGTGTCCTCTTTCTGGTAGGGGCTAAAGCCAGAGGCTCTGCAAATATCCCATAATGGATAATTATGGGCAAAACTTCCCATGAAAAAGTGTCTTCCTAGCCTCCATCATTAACTGATGGCTCCTGTGCAGCCAGACAGGGCTTTGCAGATCACAGAAGGAAAAAAAAGGCAGATCAGAATCTATGAATCTAAAAAAAGAATCTTTGTATCTAAATATTCTTAAATTTAATTCCCCTCAAATAAGCATTCCTTGGTTTTGGATTCCAGGTCTTTAATGAAAGACTATATGAACTGTTGTTTTTAAAGAAGTTCTAGTAACACTTCAGGTAGCAGAAGAATGAACTATAACCCTCTACTGAAAATCAAATACCACCCCAGAAAGGTAAAGAGAGGTTGTGCCACTAACACTTCTGTCAGTTCTGTTAACTGACACTCCTTGTATTGTTCAACCAATTCAAAAATGGATTTGTAAAAGACAGTAACAAGGCCTTACTCAAAATAATTCTGACCACCTGTAGTCAATAAAACAGAGATCAGGGAAGCAAGGAATCTGCCTTGGGAAGCTGAGAGCTTTGTTTAGTGCAGCAAAACAGAAGCTGAAAGGAGACAGGATTTTTGCCTGGGCTGAGGAGTTAAACTTCAAGGAGGCAGAAAATTCTCAGAAACAACATTAGTTTAAAACTTTATAGGTTTGTTGTTTTTTTTTTTTTTCCCCTGCCAGCAGAGTGAAGCAAAGGTTATTAAACTTTTAACCAACAAAATTATGAGATTCTGAAACAGCCTCTCGAGAGGCAAAAACCATGCAATTACTCTTAGAGAGCTTACTCTTTTTTGTAGACGACTATGTGATGGAGCTCCCTGCAATGCAGAGAAGTGGATTTAACAGCCAGAGCTCTGGAGGCCTATGCTTCTATGACTCACTAACTACAATGCGGGGAACGTGAGTAGGTAAACAAGTATTTCAGCAGGACTCTACCTTCAAAGAGCGAGATGCAGGCTGTAGGTGGGCAACTTCCATGTCCACAAAGATACCACCCATCAGAAGCTGAGGCACAAGAACCTCCACTGATAGCTCAGAGAATGAAATACACAGAATTGCAATAAGCAGCCAATACTCAAGTGAGATCAGGAAGATCCCCTCACTGTGTGTATACTGAAAAGACAATGACGACAAAACCTCAAGAGATCCAAGCCCATAGTTTGTCTGTAGCTGATGATCTAACACATGAAAAGCATTTGGCGTTGGTTGGTTTCTTTTTGTAAGCAGACTGTTAGGGTGCAAAGAAATATCTGTTATCACTTTGGACATATTTGAAGAAGCAAAACTACAGACAAGCTATTTCTTCCACTACCTCACTTCCTTTCTCACTTGGAAGTCACACACTAACACCTATACTCCACTGAAGACTGCTACCTAGCTTTTTAGCTAGCTGAGAGATCAAAACTTTCTCAAGTTGCCTCTGAAATTTAAATGCTACACAGCAATTCTACCAAAGGGTCATTAAAAGCATTTACCTACCTCTTCTGGTTTAACCTCTCTGGTAGTGAAATCCTTTATGCAATCCAGGAAGCAGTTTTCTGTAAGTTTATTGTACGTTCCAAGAAACTCCTTGAACTATAAATAAAAATTGGACAATGAGTATTAAGAAAATTCTACATTAATTTTTCTTACACATAGCTGCATGAGCCATCTGGTGACACTAACATTTAAAGGACAAACCATTAGAGAAATTTACTACCAGTCAGAAGATTTCAGCACCAAATGCTGCTGGTACTCAGATAGTATATATTGTCTGTTGATGGTCAAATCTTTACATTTGGGTTGCTACAGAACTGGCCTTAACTCAGATGGTAACTTAAATGTTTTGTCCTTCTTCATGCCCTACACCTTTTACTCTACATGACAAAGATCTCCAAAGCCACCACTCATGAATACATCATCTTACCTGCTTGATCTGATCAGATTCTGATATTTGTCCAGCCATATTCTACCGCCTGTGATTGACTCACCTATTCTGGAAATAAAAGTCGAGTTTCACCAAAAAAAATCATACATATATCGGCACATTTTACAACAGAATGGACTTCCATATGTTCTTGAAGTGGACTTAAATGCAACTTTGCTAACAAACTTTCAAGCAATCCACTTGAAGAAAAGTTACCTATTTGAAATTTATTCAGTTGAAAGAATATCCAAGAATTCCAGGTATGAAACCTTCCCAGATCCACCTGTTTAACTGCTATTCTTCAAACACTTTTTAAGCTTACAGTTAAAGTAACTTTTTTTTTTTTTTTTTTAAAAAAAAAAAAGGTATTTTATAAATGCTTTTAAACTCACAAAGTAAAACTAGGGCAGGAGTGGGGGAGAAGCAAGCAATAACATTCTCTAGCATTATAGTTTCAGCGACTTTGAATGGAATCTGTAAAAACAGTAAAGAAAAAAAAAGGCAAGTATTAAATGGTCACCACTCTGAATAGATGCAGCATAAACCAGCTTGCACCAGAGAAGACAATGTCTGGTTTCTATCTAGCTGCATTCTCACCAAAATTAAACTAGAGCAAATGTTCTGGTCATTGAATATAGTGAATTAAATGCAAGAAAATGTAGAAGAATGAGAATGGCCTTAAAGGAAGTGAGGGAGACAAAGAAAAAGGGAAGAATGAACAGCCATGGATCCAAGAATTTAAGCAAGCATCCTCAAGGAAGACTCACATTCCTAATCCAACAGGGTAAACAAGTTAATACTTGAAAGCATCTCTGAAGGTTTCCTAGAATACTGAAAGCTAGTCTTCCTTCTCCCTTAACTTACACATTATCTAAGACCTATCACAGATAACAATGCAAGCTAATATTACACATTGACAAGAACAAGATCCTTCAGTCTAACTCTCATCAACTTGTGGAAGAAAATTATCACTCAAGTTTAATCACTTCGTGAAAGAAGTTCCTTTAGCCCTTTAGCAAGGGCTACTTACAATTGATCTTGTATTATGTTTTGCCAACTTTTGAGCAAGACATTAATGTTTTAGGAAGCTTAAACTACTCCATTCTCTCGGCGGGGTAGGAGCGGGCAAGAGGGCAAGCAAGCTCTCTGAACAAGAACAAAAAGACATTAGTAATTATTTCTACAACAGAAGGAAAACTAAGCAACTAAAAATAGCACTATGGAGCTCTCACAAGCATGCTTTCTCTCCCTATAGCCCCTCCCAGTAGTAAAGGGATTAAAACATCTGCCTCTTAACATTACATAGGAAGCCAATCCAGGGATTGGAGGTAAAGAGCAGATATAATGCTTGGATTTAAGATGCAAACCCCCACGTTCAAGAATTCCTCTTGGGCAGTAAGTCCCTTAAGGAGAACATACAGGATATGGCTGCTCAGAAAAAAACAGGCATTTCTCAGGTTAATGTAAACCTCTAACTTGTTTTAGAAGTGGCCACGACTGTCACCTGGAGACAACAACTACTGAAAATGGATGGCAACTCCACTCTCACTTCCCAGCCTGTTAGAAGAAAAATCAGTGACAATTCTATAAAGACGGTTTAAGTAGATTACTAAAGAGCTAGAAACTGCAGAGAACAGGAAAGACTTTTGTCCTCTCCCTAGCACAGAAAACTAAAAGCTTCAACTGTTCCATTTTCTCACACTCAGCATTGCTTCATTATGCTTGTTTATTTATAACAAACCTGATCTTTGTTCTTCTGCGACTAGTTTGGCAAGCTTAAAATTACAGATTTACTGAACTGCAGTTCCATAAAGTGGTTACACTTGCACTTGGGAAATAGCTCTGATTTAAGTCAGCACAATGGCGCTACCCGATTTTAAGTGTTCGAAACACTTGTCCCTCTACAGGTATTTTTACACTTTCCACACAGCAGGCAGTGAAATTATATGGCTCTACTGTGCCTCTTCAGTAGCTATAAATTATGGGCAGTTGCCTTAACAGCTAAAAATGCACTACCTGAATGTTACCAGAAATGCACACATCTGGTTTATTCTTAAAGTCTGTTAAATGTATCATTTGAAGTTGCCTGTTGTTTGTCCCCTTCCCCCTCTGTCTGTGAAACAAGCAAAAGGGGGGGAAAAAAAAAAGAAGTGATGAAAAAGCCCATGACGGGGCTTGGCACCATGACTAACACACCGCAGAGCTTCTTACATAGCTGCTCAAACAACTCTGGCATGCTTCGAGGTTTAAACCTACACAGCCTGGATTACTTTCTGCTGGGCTAAAAGTGAATTGAAAATTTGGCATTGCATTTTTAAACATGTCACACTGAAGGAAGCAGCTATCTCTTGAGTAAACCTCTGCAACAAGAGGCACGTGGTCTGGACATTCTGGTTCACCAGGAAAGTAGCAACAGCTGGGAAGTCTCCCTTCTTGAAAGGCCCTGGAGCTCTTCCAAGTGTGTTTTGATGTTCTGAAGAGACATTCTTTTAAGATAAGCCTCTCTGAACAAAATTAGAAGTTAAGGATAACTTGAGGTTTTGATTTCTCATAGTTAGGCATCACGGATTTTCTATCCTCTTACCAAAGACAATAAAGGCTTCAGCCTATTCAAACCTATTCTCTGTGCTAGATTCAGCCCCATTTTAGAATCTGGAAAATGCCACTAATATTTCCTTCTGCTGTGGCTGTCACTCCCATTGCCATGGAAACACGAAATCACTACAGAGTGACAGCTTTTTTTAAAAGGTAAAGCTTGTTTATTACATAAAAACAGTGATTAGGTTAAGGCTTCCCAGCTAACCTGGGTCATTCATCCATTTCCACAGCAGGAAGAACACGAGCCAGAACTAGAGAGGTCAAAACTCCTCCAAAACATCTTAGATGTGGGAATACAGATTCCTCATCTCTATCTACAGACCTTCAGAAGCAGAGGGCTCATGAACATAACTCCTAAGCACTAATAACTGGAACAGGGATATTGATGATTATTACTGTACTACTGATGGGTGGCCGAAAAGCCTGCCTCCATTTAACAGCCTGGAGTTCTTACAGGTGAAGCCTGCCCTGTAAACTACAGTGAGGAAGGGTTGGTTTTTTTTCCCACCGATGTCATCAACAGCAGTGTCTAGTACCTAATCTTGAGTCAACTGTATCATTTCCCATGCAAACTAAACTGGAACTGTGTTTTGGGTTTTTTTTCAATGAGCTGCATTTTATTGGGGGAGAAGGGCTGTGAAGAGACACTGTAAATACATCACACTTGTTATCGCAATTAAAACCCAAATTAGGTGTAGGTACAACTACTCTATACATGGATGGCTGCAATTTTTTTAAACCTTGGCTTCCAATTGTACACACAGACCACCACAAAAGTGTTTCTGCATGTGCGTAAAAAGGAGAAAGAATGAAAATATCGTCAAAGAAATGCATCAAAATAAAGCACCCACAACTTGTGGAGAAAGTTGCATTTTTTTAATAGTTTGAAATTACTAGGTTAGAACTTGATTTAAAAAACCTTCATGAATTTTAAACAGCTCTTTTATCAAATCTAATCAAACTACAAATACTCCCACTGCTGTGCGCCTGAGCAACCAACCCTCTGCCCTGTACCAGCCCAGAGAGGCAGCGGTGACAGCCCCGCTGTGTCGGCACAGCCCAGCTCTTCCCCCCACCGCCACTTTCCTTCCAACTGGTGCTTGCGATGTAGTTACACAAAAGCTTGCTTCTGGTTCCACACACTACAGTCAGCCTTCAGAGGCATGTGGTGAAATGAGAAAGGTCAGAACCTGGCTGGATAATAAGATATACCTGGTGCACAGGTTATTGTGATTTGTGATCGCATGGCTGTGGGCTAGACCCTGCTCTGAAGAAAAAAACACCAATGGTAGAAGTTATCTCTTGATGCCAAAAGCAAATTAACACAGGAAGTCTGAATTCAGACACCCTGAGAGCCTCTTGAACAGACTGAACACAAGCAAGGACATCTGTCCTGGGAGAAAACACACATTTCTCCAGAAGTTATTTCCTATTTAAGTTAAATTAGGCTTCACTAATACTTGTGACCCAGTAAATTCAAAACTTGAAATGGAAATAAAATAATTTCACCTCCCGGTTTGGTCGGTTGGTTGTTGGGGTTTTTTTGGGGTTTTTTTTTGTTTTTTTTTTTTTTTCCTTTTAATATATCCTTCAGTTCTTGCTTTCAAGGGCACCTTGAGTTTCTTTACCTAAGGAGATACTCGCTAAACCAAGCCCCAAGCCAACAGGCCCAACGCCCGTTAGGCCGGTGCGGGTACACGAGGGCGCCCCTTTCCCTCCATCCGAGCCGAAGAAAAACCGCCCCGGCACAAGAAAAATGCCCCCAGAAGGCCGGATTTTTCCTCACCCGTGGGACCTTCGCCGTCCCTCGGAGCACAGCACAGCGCCGCCCGCCCCGCCGGAAGCGCCCATTGCCATAGCAGCAGCGCTCGCTCATGGCGGCGCGGGGTCCGCCCCTCAATAG